GGGCAGGGGATGTTTTTACCCTTTAAAAAACTATCCTTAAGACTTAGCACAGTGCCTGGCACATAATAAGGAGTTGATAAATGCTTGTCGATCGTTTCTTTTTTTTTTTTGCTCACATGTGAACTCCTAATGTGAAATCTAAGTCAGTATTTTTCCTTCCTCAAACTGTCTTCTCCTATATAATGTAAATTTTGAGACAGGGACTGTTTTATTTTGGTTTCTGCATCCTCTAGCATCTAGCATAGTGTTTTGAAAATAGTAGGTGCTCAAACAAAATTTTTTTCTGGGTTGTGTCGAATTTTCTAAGGGACAGAGGGTATTATGATCTGCACTGGGAGAGGGAGAACCAACACTGATGAAATCACAGATTCTTAAAGTATTAATTATCCTGGTTATAGTTGCTCCTTTTCTCTCATGAGCACAGATAGTCAAGGAGAAGGAATTTACTGAATACTTTGATGAAACTGTCATTCCACTGATGTGAGTACTTCCTCCAGTGATGCAGATTACAAACCACCCACATCTTCTTATCCCATGAGTTTTCTCCATATTTTCCAATATATTCTCCACAGGAGGGTCATTCAGTGTGGTAGGGTTTTTCCCTAGATCTCTATATATCACAAAAGTGCCAATAGAGCATGCAAGCTAACTGCTCCTTCATACTTTCTACATTATTGGCCTCTTCTTTTTCAGCTTTTTGATGATATATTTTACATAATCTTTAATACGCAATTTGTCATGAGTAATGTGCTACATCTTTTCATTGCCCTTTGGGTAACTTGAAATTTTCATTCCTCAGAGACCATGGCATTCCATGATTTGTAGCCACATAGAATCTCCTGAAAAACATTCATGTTAAAAAAAGATGGACTGTTCCCAAAGCTTAAGATCACTAAAAGTGCTAAGTAATTTCCCAAATTCAATCCAGTGTATTCTCTTCTATTCAATTCTGAGCCCAATTCATTGATTATCCATAATGTCTGTCCAAGACAGATGTACTGATGGGCTTGGCAGAGAGGCAGAGATATGGAATCAAGGCCTGTCAATGCTGGTTGTAACTAATTCACCAACTTGCCAAAAATAATACAAGCCTGCCCTTTCTGTTGGCTATACAAGCTATATTACTCTATAAGATCATGGTCGTTGGCTTTTTCCAAATGATTATCAGCCCCCATGACAGCATTTGAGGGACAAAGGCAAGTATCACAAACAGTACTTTTCTATCTTTAATTTCTATTATTCTGAGACTCACTGACCAGGGGCCCTTCAAAAGACAAATAAAATCTTGGAGGTGGCCTAAAACAAGATGAAGTCGAGGTCTATTTTATACACTTTAATATGAAAGATATTTTTTCCTGGTAAATTCTAAAACAAAGCTGTATTGTAGAGATTCAGTCTTAAGTATTCCTGTTTTTTAGGGTTAGTTCCAATAACGTTAACCTTAACTCTCCTTACTTAGAACTAAGTGAAGTAGCTATGTGAAAAGATTTATTCTAAAAATCCCTCTGAGTCTGTGATTTAAGAATCAGCTATGGATACTGAAGTAAGGGATAAAAAAAATCCTAGCAAGATTAGTTTGGTTTTCATGAATTGAGGCAGATAAATGGGAAAGAGGCAGTTTTGTTAATTTTGGAGATGTTTCTATACTCTACTTTTCCCAGCCACCTTTACACACACACACACACACACACACACACACACACACACACACACACACACACAGAAGCTTGTTGGTATTGGGTAAAATTACTAAAAAGAATTACAAACACATTAGGATTTTGGCTAGTGTTCATTAAAGGTACTTTTTGAATGTCTTACCCTACTGCTCAATGGAGCTGTTATTAATTACTTTTAAAAAATGTTTTATTGATGCTTAGGGAAAAAAACCCCTACCACATTACTATTATTTCCCAATCTGTCCCTCTAAATAGAATTCTCTCTTGAAACTAAGAAATATTGTTAAACCAACACACTGGCCATGTCTGACTGTGTCTGGCTCATTACATACCTATAGTCCACTACTTCTCTGCCAAAAGGAGACAAGTTATGTTTTGCTGTCAATCCTCGTATGTATTTACTTCAAACCCTCTATGTGCATACTTATTGGTGATAGATAAACATAAAGGCATTATTATAAATCTCCAAAGAACTGTAGCTGACAACAAGAAGAAATTATCTTAGAACCCTGAGGCACCTTTTAAAAATATGGCTAAGAACATTGTTTACCAGAATCTTTGGAATAAGGTTATCCTTTCTAAACTAAAAATCCATGTTGGAAGATTTAAAGGGAGTCTTATTTTATAAGAAATGTTAATCCTCAGAGACTGGGTGTATGACAGGAATTACTTATCCTGTAAAAGTATACACTGCATCTGTATGACTATAACATTCTTTTAACCTCTAAAACAATAACAATACCCATTTGAAATAAAACTGTATGTGTGGCAATGTTATCAGGATCCTGCATTTGTGAAAAGAGACTAACTCAAACTTTATCAACTTCTAACAGGGAACTAAGTATTTAGGAAAGAAAAATGCATAAGAAGAAATCCAAAGCTAGTCACACTGCTTGTAAAAGAATAGGCCATTCTTTAAGCTGGGGGGCTTCCCCTCCCCCAATCCTTTTTTAAGCCTCTGAATTTTAAGCCAACCATCTGCTATTACATCTTATAAAGTAGCATCATCTATCATGTACTTAAACTCTGGCACTCTACGCTGACTGGTTAAGTTTTTGAAATGATAATACTCAGCTACAAACATATTTATTAGGTCTCTCCAGCCCTGAAGTGAGTTATGCTGACAAATGAGGAGACGGTAATTTTATCTCTTAGCTTCTCCCTGTGTTTGAGTGAAAAGAAAAACTACCATGGCTTACTGAAAACCTGGGTTCTAGCCCTAGATCTTATTTGTGCTGTGTAACCATAGACAAGTCCATTTCTATGAGCTTTTGTTTCCTCATCTGTAAAATGGGGATAACCATCCTTGCCCTTCTTACCTCACAGGAGTATATCCTAAGGTTCAAATTAGGAGAGGGATGTGAAAGGGCTCTGAAAACTATAAACCACAAAACATGGATATGGATCATGATGATGACGATCTCTTTGAAAATCATTCCTTGTCGGTCATTCACACAATTTGGCCTTCTCTGTCCAGGGGAACTGCTCTGAATTAATGAGCAGGTTAAACTTCAGCCATGATAGTACTGAGGTTATTCAGACGATGCATTATAGAGAAGAGCTACATAAGAGGTTTCTGACAAAAGCAGAAATTCATTGGGAACTTAATCCTGACTAATTATCACATGACCCTATTAACCTTTAGAAGACCTTTGTGCACACCAGGTAATGGCCCAAACTTGCCTCTCCTGCTAGTTAATGTCTACCAATGGGTTTTGAGTCTCCAAATTAACACATGTGACCCAAGTTTAGGAAAAAGCCATCGAGAGGCAGCTAGATGGTGCAGTGGATTGGGTGCTGGTGTGGAATCAGGAAGCTGTTGTTGAATCCTTTCAGTCACGTCCAACTCTTTGTGACCCCATTGGGGGTTTTCTCGGCAAAGATACTAGAGTCATTTGCCATTTCCTTCTCCAGCTCATTTTACAGATGAGGAAACTGAGGCATACAGTGTTAAGTAACTTGCCCAGGGTCACATAGCTAGCAAGTGTCTGAGGCCAGATTTGAACTCAGGAAGATGAGTCTTCCTGACTCCAGGCCTTGCACTCTATCCATTGCGCTACCTAGCTGTATCTGGAATCAGGCCTGAGTTCAAATCTCAACTCAGACCAGCCAAATCACTTAACTTCTGTTTGCTTTAGCTTCCTCATCTGTAAAGTGAGGATAATAATAGCATCTACCTCCCAGGGTTGTTGTGAGGATCAAATGAGGTAATATTTATAAAGTGCTTTGCAAACCTTAAAGTGCCATATAAAATGCTATTATTATTACTTTAGGGCATTAATAACATGCATCAATAAAAAGAATATTAAAGAATATCCTAGATTATGCCCCCAAAGTAATTAAATACCCTGCCTATCCCTAGTTCCAGCTCTATTCAACTCGCCCCATGAGTCCTTTTCTCCTGAATTGTTCCTTTGGCCAAGAGTTTCAGGTGTCCCATTGAACCCTTGGGTCTGATAAGTGCTCCTTTGGTGTTCCATGAAAAACTATGCAGTCAAGAGAGAAATGTTTAATCTGTGGCTACACTGTTATCTCCAAGGCTGATCCCAACCAGGGATAGGGATTTAGCAGTAGGGACTGGGATTTAGAATAACCCTTCCCCAAACAAGGCCAATTTTTAAAACTCAAGACTTTACAACAAAGAAAATTGAAAATGATTTTCTAAATCACACTTCTGACTGAATTCTGACTACCATAACTGGCTTATAGCCTGATTACCAGAAAAAGGGGGATACTATCCTTTATGAGACTGACAAACTGGCACCAAAAAAGTCATCTGTAGGGAAAAAAAGGCAGAGGGAAAAGCTCTGCACTAAGGTTTTACCAGCCAATCATAATTATTTTAAGTAGACCATTTGCCTGCTCTCCCAAAATCTCCCACTATTGCTTTTGGAAAACAACATTTTTAAAATGTTGGTATTATTCATTGTTGACAAATTGCAAGTTAAAACTGTATAAATCACAGAAGATCAAAGCTAGGGCAGAGCTAGAGATGGAGAAGTAAGTGTTATAGATAAGACTATATTAGCATACTCATCTTTGAAATAAAGAATTAAACCTTTAGGACTCAAGAAGATGAAGCCTGGAGAAACTTCTTAGTTTTTTCCTACCCATAAATTAGTGTGTGGCACACAGCAGATGCTTAATAAATGCTTGTTGATTAACTGATTGAAGGCAAATGTCTTTGGGGGATTCAGATCATTGAAATTCAATATCTAAATAATATTTAATTCAATATCAATCCAGATACCGCTTTTCTACATGTTAAACATAGAGAAAAATGAAAGTCACTGTGCTTTAGGGTCATTTCATTCATGTACTTACATGATTGAGAAATTTGCTGTCTTTGGTGGCCCAGCCTATCTGCATGACTCCAGAAGTGATAACTGTAACTTCATAGTACCATACCCCAGAGTCAACACAGAATGTGCAACGCACACTTTCAAAGGAGGAGGCATCACATCGAGCCTAACAAAACCAAATGGCATGACAGTCAATAATGGTTACTTGAAAGACGATAATCACCTAGGTAAAGCACAGTGTCAGCTTGTAGTCACTGCCTGGCACATTTAATACTCTCATGATTAAAGACAGACCCTTCTTTCCTTGCCATGCACAAAACACAAAACTGGAGGAGATTCGTGGGAGCCCTGTGTGTGCAGATGCCAAAGGAAGGTGGGCCCTATCAGAGAAGAGGGCTGCTGAGCTCCCTAAAAACTTCTGAGTCACTTCCTACAATGGGGGTGACCCTACATCTAGCGGACTGTACGAGTTCTTGGAAGCATAAGGGACTCATGAAGTGGGGGGCGAGGGAGTGGTGTTGATTCCTTAGCAACTTCAAGTTATTTCCCTTGGCTTGAGGGCCCTACTTAGGGTAATACTATAAGTCTGGAGGATTGTACATGTCTTTGGTAAAGACAGAGGCCCACTGCAGAGGAAAGGGGAATTGTCTCAATGTTTATGGGCTCAGGTGAAAGCTCTTCGCATTTTTTGGTTGGGTTAAATTAGACCTTTCTGATAGCTGATGTTTTGTTAGTCTGAGTGCTTATTTTATTTTATTTTTCTTTGTGTGTAGAAACCTTGACAAATTCTGATGTTCCTAGGTCAAACCCTAAATGGGAGTATAAGCCAAAGAGAAATAATTATTGAGAGGCCTCTAGTCTTTGGCACTAGGCCATAGGTGGAAAAAGGCTAAGGATTTTCAAAACTGTAAATTATTGCTTTTTTACCTCCAATCCATGTGGTGAGATCTTCAGGTACTCGCTAACATCATTGCTATTCAGCATGGCCCTAATGTTGGTCAGGTCCACTTTCTCATAAGTAAATTGCCTGCCTTCTTTCAAAACTGCAAAAGAAAAATAAATTGTGTTGCTAGATCACACTCCTCTGGAAAATAATGAAATCAGCAAAGTTTAATAGCTGTGAACGTGGCCTGTAAGGTCAAGTAGGTCATGCTGAATGGTGGCTCTGGTTATACATTATAGTAAGTGAATGTGCCTGGCTAGAAGCCAGGGAAAGCAGTATGATTTTCAACATTAGGTTCCTTATACCTAAAGAACCCTAATTCCCAAACACCAGAAATATACACATTACACAAAGTACAATTTTCTTTATTTCAAGGTGAAACAATGTCCTGAATTCTTGTCGTTTGGGGATCATGATCCGGTTTGGCAATGCTTGGGAAGGAATTATTTCATTTTGTGTCTACATCTCCAGCACTCGGTAAAGAATATGGTACTTAGTAGATGCTTCACAAATGCTTGTTGATTGATAAGTCTCCTAATCTTCTCTTGTCACTATGGAAGATCTCCTTTTAAAATTAAACAAGTATCTACCAAACAGCAAGTACATGACCAGCACTGTTCTAGACATGAAAAGGGTCTCTGCTCTCAATCTGGTTGGACAGAGAGGTAGGGTTAGGGTGAGCCAAAGACACGTGAAAGAATTAACAACTGATGTGAAATGCATAAGACACTATAAAATGGACAAATACAAGATGGTGAAATACTTGTGCCAAATTTTGTGGTTCAGACTACACATGCTCCATTTCTGTTCAGAGGAGGGGCAGGTAGGAATAGTTAGGATAGCATCTATAGAAGAAGTAGGACTTAAACTGGATCTTGAAGAATAGGTAGGATTTTAATATGCAGAAGAATGAGGAGAGGAGAATCAAATTAGGAGACTGGAATAGGCATGGCATGCTTATGCAACAGTTTATGGAGACCGCTTTGGCTATGGCAGAGTATATATGTTAGACAGACAGTTCGAGATGTATGGTACAGCCAAGTTAGGGTTAGCCTTTAAAGTCATGTAGAAGGATGTGGAACTGACGTGGCAGGAAATAAGAGTGAGTGAGGATTTATGAGCAGGGGGATGCTGGAGTTAGGGGCAGCCTCCACAACTTGTGTGGAAGACTCCTAGGGATACCTTTCTGTAGTATTCTTAATCCTCTCAGGGATCTTTCAGGGAAAGATTCAGTCTTCTCATCATCACCTTCAGCATTATTTCACCTGTAGTAAAACTTTGTATTCCATTCCTCTCCTGTACTTATCACATATCATATTGTATTGTGTCCCCGTCTTATCTTACTGTTGCCTTGCTCACAGTGGACACAATAAATATTTGTTGAATGAATAAATGAATTATTATTAGAAAAATAAGACTAATCATCAAATGGAAGCAACTTTTTGAGTGGCGGTGGAAATCATTTTAATAAAATACACTAACTTACAGAGATTGTCTAAACTCCACTGAGCGCAGAAACCAACTTGACGTTTCAGATAGTCAGAATTTTCTGTCCATCTCTCCAACATGACCAGACGGTCACTAATACAGGATTTGGAGATAGTCATCTTATTTTCACCTAGCAGGAAAGAAGCAAGACTTGAATTAGCTAGCAACTAGGGGAAAAGAAGTAAAAATTCTAAATGAGTGAACTGGAAGAAAAGAAGGAACATTTTACTTTCTGCATAGCTCATACAAATTACACAGTTAAATGATAGTCAACATTTTCCCTGAAATTAGTCAAAACATCTACAGGCTAAGAACAAGAGGGTAACCATGGTCAAACATCTCAACAAAAAGTGGTACTTGAGAGAGATGCTATATGCAATCATATAAAGTAAAAAACCACAGCAATCCTTCACCTGTGGAGGGGAGAAGGGGGAGGGAAGAGGGACTGTAAACAGAACTTCCTTTGTTAAAGCAAGTAAAACTAAGGTACTTGATTTAAAATGGTCAAGGTACATATTACTTCTTTTTTTCTTTTTCTTTTTTCATTTACTCAGTATTTTATTTTCCCCCCAATTACATGTAAAAACAATTTTAAACATTCATTTTTAAAACTGAGTTGCAGGGGCAGCTAGGTGGCACAGTGGATAGAGCACTGGCTCTGGAGTCAGGACGACCTGAGTTCAAATCCGGCCTCAGACACTTGACACTAGCTGTGTGACTTTGGGCAAGTCACTTAACCCCACTGCCTATCAAAAAAAAAAAACCCAAACCAAAAAAAAAAACCTGAGTTGCAAATTGTCTTCCTCCCTTATGACCCCTTTACTAAGAAGGCAAGCAATTTGATATAGGTAATACATTGTAGTCAGGTACATGTTACTTCTGTGGTACACCCAATGATCCTAAATTCATCCTATATACATTTTAAAATTAAAACAATTAAAGTTTTTTTTATGTAGTGTTTAAAACTTAAATGAGTTGCCAACAGCCCAGCAGTATCAATGTGTATTTCTGAAACAGAATGTGTACACATATGTTAGAATTCACAGCATTGCCTGATCCACCAAACAAGCAAATCAGCATTTCTGAATATAGCACATTATCACAAGAGATTACTGTACACATACTGGTCTGTGCAAACTTTTCCAGTGCAATTAGTGCAAAAAGCATGACTGTAGGATGGGACTGGAAATTCTGAAAGACAAAAAAAAAATTATCATTTTCAATTTCAACCTCTCCCTGCTGCCCCAAGAGCTGTACATGCTAATTTTGCTTTCTTGCTGAATATATGCTAGATTCTTTTTTGAGCATCAAAAACATTCAGATACCACAAAGACTAGAACACCTTTGCTTAACACTGTGCGTAGTCAAGAGAGTTATGACAGTCTTTCTTTCCTAAAATTTCTCCCTTAAAAAACATACTGGCTATAGTTATCAGCAAGGAGACAAATTCAAAGCATTAATGAGAAAACTAGAAATTTTGGGGATTTAGTGACAGCATACAGTGTCACTGCGCCCACCAGGGGATAGACTGTATGTCTACTGTCTGAGGGTTAGGCTAGCTAAGGGCAGAGAAGACTGGAAGAATATGAGGAAGGTATAAGTCAGGCCTGCACAACTTGTGGCCCTCAGGCTGGTTACTTCTCATGTAGAGGAAATCCTTTGGCAAGCCCAAGGGCTGTAAGTGGCCCTCTGGGCTGCAAGTTGTGCAGGCTTGTTATAAGTCAATTATAAAAGCAATTTTATGACATTAAAGTTTAAAGCCAGAGCAGCATACTAGATAGATTGCTGGACCTGGAGTCTTGGGTTTGAATCTTACCTTAGACACTTAACTAGCCTTATGACCCAGGCAAATCACTTAGCCTTTAAACCTTAGTTTCCTCATCTGCGAAATTAGGTTGAAAAATAGCACCTATATCTCACAGGACTGCTGTGAGGATCAAGTAAAATAATATATGCAAAATGTTTTACAAATCTTAAGGCACAATGTAAATGTTTGCTATGATAATTTTTTAAAAAACATTTAATTCCAGCAATATTCTCCTCCCTGCTTTTGCCCCCACACTTTAACATAATTCGAAATAAAGACAACTTTGGGAAACATATGCAAATATATGATTGCCTTCATTTCCTATGCCAATCTATGTTATATTTCTTGAGAAAATATTTAATATAATAGAATTTAACAATTCTGTAGCCACATACTAAAAGGCTCTGTATAGATATGAAAATAGAAAACCTTCTCCTTCCTAAAATGAAAAGCTCTATGTTCTATTTTTCAGATTAGAAGATAAGAGTTTTTACTTATTAAAAGTCAGGGAAATGAAAGAATTTCAATAATGACTGTGATTTCAAACTTTGAGCAGGGACTAAGGCACTACAAGAAACAAATTCTGGCAATGCTTTCCACTTCTCCTCCTCTCCCAATCTAAGAATTTTTGCTTTGTTTTTTAACACCAAAATAATTTATTATACGTTAGCGTTAGATGACTGGCAACATCAACTGTCTTTGATATATCACTTACCAGGCTCTGTAATAAATATTCTAATATCCCCGGGCTAAGTAAGCTTATGCTTGCAGGACCTGTAAGGCAATAATAAATATGATACATATTACTACAATGGTACATGTATAAAACTGGTGTATTACATTTTCATATCAGCAAGTACTGAAGTGTCCACCACATGGTTTATACACGTCATCTGGTTTATAGGCAAGATATCCAAATGTACTTTGAAATTAACTCTCAAGTTCCTTGTATGAATACATATATTCAGGCAGATCAATTTCCAAACTCCCTTTTAGATAAAGTTTTAAGTTGTACCAAAAAGGACAATACTGTTTAACTCTCTGCTTGGTTTGGTTTAAAAAAAAAAAAAGCCCAGGTTTGGAGCCAGAAGCCCTGAGTTTGAATTCCAACTTTGCTACTTGTGTTGGGCTCTGGGAAAGTAATCTCCCCTCTCTAGGCTTCAATGTCTTCATATGTAAAATGAGGAGTCTGGACCAGATCACCTCCTAGGTCCTTTTTTAGCTCAAGATTTATGGACCTATTCTATGGCTTGATCTAGGAAGGGCAGGTTTGTTTTTTTCTCAAAAGGTCCCCTCTTTTGTATAAGGTTGTAAGGTCATGTCAAAAGAAACATGTCACAGACACTATGTAAACTTAGAAATTATAATAACATTTAATAACAATAATGACATTTTCTTGTCATTATTAATTAACTTTAATGAAAGCTCTGGAAAATAGTATCCTTTAGTTATAGGCTCTCAAACACAACACAGAAATTACATATGCCATGGTAAGGTAAAAAAACACCCATCAATACCCAATCCTTTTGTTTAAAAATGGAAGAAAAAACAAGAACTTTTATGCTCTTTTTAAAAAATGTCAACCGAAGGAAAACTAAGAGTTCTGATTACATAGTGTTTGCCAAGGTGGGACACTTCTAGTCCACAGGACAGGCTTAGTAGTTATTTAATTTCCAGGATGTGATCTCATTTATGTTTTTAGTTGAATAAACACAAGAGTTTAACAATCCCTTAGCCATATTCTAAAAGATTCCATATAGATATTAAAAAAGAAAACTGTATCCTCTCTAAAATGAAAGGCTATACAGTCTACTTTTCAGGTTAAAAAAAAAAGAGATTTTACTCACTGAAAGTTAGAGAAAAAAGAGAATTTCAAGAATGACTGTGATTTCAAACTTTAAGCAGGGATTAAAACATTGTGAAAAAACAAATGATGGCAATGTTTTCCAATCTCCTCACCCAACCTTCAATCTAAGGATTTGTTTTTGTTTTTAACACCAAATCTTGGGAAGTATCAGTAAGTGGATTAAGTCTTTCTCTTTTTTTCTACATTACAAGGTTATGTTCTTCTCTTTTCTATTAACTTTAGAAGTTTTTTTTTGGTTGTTGCAGTATTTGAATATGGTTTTATATGCCTTGTTCTTAATTTTAAAAGCTAAATGAAATATTTTATCATATTCTCTAAAAATGAGCCACCTAGATTAAAGTGCTTTTTACTGACGTGGATCTCATTTCCCCCCTTTTCTCTTTATAAAAAACAAAACAAACTAGTTTCCCAAGCATAATATGGTGAGTTTGGCTGGAGACATCAAATACATTTTTAAAATGTGAAATTTCTCATAATTACCTGCTAGTTTCTCAGCCAAGCAGCCCAGCACTGCTGTTGTGTTACGGTGTTTGGCAGGATGACTAGCATCCTGGCAAGCAACAGCTCCATTTAAATTTAAAATTTCAGTCAACTTCTGGAGTGCATCCTAAAAGAAAAAGTACGAAGTGGATTTAACATATTTAAATCTCGATTTCTTTTGGTGCACCTGAGTCTGCAAAGAACAACTAAGCACCAATGAAATGGAAATCAACATCATGTGATAAGGACACAATGTACCATCACATTAAATCATGTAATAGAGTAACTTTAAAGTTATGTCATTTCAATAACTGAGGCTTGCCATGCCAAGTATATCATTCATAATGCACCCGCTGTGTCAACTATATAAAATGCATTTTTTATGCCGCTGATTTTAAAAGACCTAGTCCAGGCAGATGCCAACACAGTAGGAGGCAATGGGGACTAACTAATACAGGGGTGAAGAAATTTCACTATTTCAATAGTGGCTGTCTTTCTTCTTAAAAACAAATACAGCACCAAATGAAACTGAAACAGGAATCTCAGAAGTCAACTCTTTAATAGCTAAGTCAAGGAATTTTCCTTTCTATCACAAGAGTCTGCCACACCAGACTGGAGCACCTGAAACTCGTATAAGGCACAAGAAAATAGGCCAGAAGCCAACTCAATTTTTTTTTAAAGAAAACAGCCAAGTCAAAGGAGTCAGCAGGATATGTAAAATAAATTAATGACATGAAGGAGGGGAACAAGTCAAGGTTACATCAATACATGACTGACTTGCACTGTCATTTTAACAAAGGTATACTGGCCAATTCTACATTTATTAACTTGGTGAGCTAAAGTGTAGACACAGAATTGGAAGATAAAGAAAACAAATTTTCAGATGACATATTAGACATTTTTACCTTCCTGTCTGAACTGCAGATCATGTATAAATTGGGGCATTCCAACACTACAGTGAAGAAATCTGATCAGTTTTCCCTTCCTACCTTCCCTCCCACCTTGCACTTTACTCCAACAATATATAGTGGCTTCTCTACCCTCTCACATGCCGCAAATAAAATAATTTATGATCAGTATCTTGGCCAAGTAATTACTTCTAACCTGTGGATACTTTTTCATATCATGTGATCACAAAGGAACATTAAATTCTATAATAAGACTGAAAAATCCTCTTAGCTGAGTAGCTTTTACTCTAAATTTGAAAAAAAAAGTTTTCAAAAAAACCTTCTGGTATGGGAAAATGAATGTAGGAACAATTAAGGAACAAGAAAATTAGAACCAAGATTACAAAGTTCTAGTTTCAAAAAAGACTGCCGTTTCAGGTAATACTCATCTTTCCATCCCTTTAATTTTTTTTGCTTAAACTAATACTTACTAATCTCCAATTAAATTTAGTTGTTTCATGGAAATAAGATCTAGCACTTTGCCTTTAGCAAATGCTAAATTGGGGGATGATGTTAATAATGAACAACATTTTGGCCCTAATGCATAAAGAGGAAATAGCTCACATCAAACTTTCCCTCTGGTTATTCATCCTTGGGCATGTGTGTAGGTGGCAGTTGCATAAGTTACACATGTGTTAACTTACTTTAGTTGGCAATGGACACTCGTCTAGTAATAACGTTATAACAGCTGGTCCCAATGGATCTTCCAATGGAATAACTCTAATTAAAGACTGGACAACTTCCAACCATCCTTCATCTGCGACCAAATCAAGAAGATTATCAGAGGGTGGTGTTACTATTTTTTAAAACTCAAGAACAGGTAGACAAGTCATAAGTAATATAAGATGACCTCACACTGAAATAGGAAAACCTTTTTAGCCCTTACCATGAGGCTTTTAAAGCAACTAATGATGGCTAGCCACCTTATGATGGCTGGAATCAAAGAACTTTAACTGGCAAATGTGGCAGTTCTAAAAGGTTGAACATTCTGTGCCATGGCCCTTAAGCTACATTTAAAAGTTCTCTCTTAAATGTATTTTTAAATGATTTCGCATTTGAGAGCTAATGAGAAAGATTAAAAACAAATCAGTATGGTATAGCATCATAGTGATGCTTAAGAAATTAGTTAACAATAGAAAGAACATTAGTAGACATTTTCCCTCCAGTTTCTAAACAGTTATAAACAGGCTGTTCTTTCGTCTGTCAATTAGAAGAGTTAAATCTCATTTTCTATCTCCAAATAACACAAATCACCAACAGAAGACTTTGTGAGTTATTCCAATTCCTGGTATGATTGCACAGGGAGTTTGAGGGGGGAGATGGAAGGAGGGAAAATTTTTTTCTCTATTGTGTAGAAAGTGGTTTTGGAACCTGTTGGTCAAGATGAGTGAAAGACCAGTATAATTGTTTACAGAGTGAAAGGCAAAATGAAAAATTATCTGCCATGAATAAAACACCAACAACTAGCTTTCTTCTATAAAGAAATAAAAACCTAAATTTAGGTCTCTTCATTTAAATAAGAAACAAAAATAAACATGTTTGTTGTCAACTTGTTAACAGGCTGTATTTCAAAAGGTCATAAATGGGTTGTTTAAATTTGGGAAAAATTTTTTTCTCAGAAATGAAAATACATATATTATGGTAGTATGTATTATATCACCAAAAGGTGGTTAGTTCTTAGGTGAGTCTACAAAGGCCCATTTAACTCATGATCTGCTGTTTTGTACAAAATAAGTGATGTGAAAAATAATGTTACAAATGACTAGATTGGCCATATTTCAAGAATGAGATATTACAAATGGATAGTCCAAGTGCTAACATTGGCAGTCTCAAGTTATTAAAAGAACCATCCAGTGTACTCCTCAGTATGTTGGTAAAGCCTCTATGGAAGATCTGTAGAACAACATGGATGAAAACAGAATCAGTTAGAAACATCTGGAGGGAATATCTACATGACAGAAATCACAGATTCTTTAGCATAACTTAAGCATATGAGGCATACCACTGAACCCAAACACCACACAGAGCAGTTGTTTCTATGGGAAAATATATTACATTCCAACTTGGGAGGGCAAGAAGAATGGGAATAGGAACTTCTCTTTCTCTTTCCCAACAGGCAATGGGAATAGGAACTTTCTTAGCTCCAAGGCACTGGGTAATAGGCTCTACAGTCTGCGTTACATCACGTGGTTAAGGTAGGGTAGGGGACCAGGTAGTATTAGGGGTGTGGAACCATACTGAACTGGCTACACAAACATTCCCTTTATTTCTACTCTGGGGTTCTAGCCTCCTTCCTTTTCCATTTACTGCTTCTTTCTTTCCTACCTGGTCTACTATGGAGAAAATGAAGTATTCTGGCTTCTTTCTCCGATTTCTGAAGCATATAGCACTTTGGAGTTTTGTTTTTTCCTAAGGGTTTTTTTGACTGGTAGTAAGAGGGGTTATAACTATAAAGTGCTATAGAAATATAGCCTGTTATTAGAAGACTTCCTTCTAGGCCTGAGTTTCTTTTACTTATGTTCTATATGAAAAGCAAGACTTAGGTCCAAATGGATTCTTGGGGAATACCAAGGTGTTAAGTAAGATATACTACATTTCAGGGCAAAAGCTGATGCAAGTTATTTTGGGCATTTTATCACAGGAACTGGGGCAGGGGTGGGGCTTCTGGCTTCTAAAATAAAGAACAGGCAAAGACCTCTGGGGAATGGCCAGCGGATCAGGGTACTGGTAAGGAGGAAAGCAGCTTTGAAGAACTTGCCACCACAAGTTCTGCCAACCTTGAGCTCACGCTAGGGTGTAGGGTAAGTAAGTTCAGGGACAGGGTAGGTCCCATATCACAGGAGACCAAAGGGGACAGGTGGCTATGACAAACAAGTCATTTGGCTGCGGTGACTGGCTATTGGTATATAATGGATGAAGTTGAATGTATATAAATTAGGAAGGAACTGTCTGTAAATGGAATGAACCTTATGGGATACTAGGTTTTTAAAACTGATTTTTTTCTCCTTTTAAGAATATATATATATTCTTAAACACACACATATATACACCTTGGATCACTGCATATAATGTCAGGCTAGGTTGATATATTTGTTGGTTTTGTTGAATTGGCTTTTTCCCCTCTTTTTAATTCTTTGTTCTAAGGAATAGCTCTCTGAGAGTAACAGGGGGGAACAGACATATTAGGAAATGTAGGCGATATAAAACAATGATAGCTAATAAAAACTAAAACAAAACAAAAATAGTCATACAATTAAAAAAATTAAGAATAGCTATGGAAATGATTAGTGTAACTACCAGATATTCAAGCATAGTAGTTATACTCAGTCTGCAGGGCAGGGAATAGGAGGGAAGAAAATATGTGGAGAAGGAATTTGTAAACTCAGAGCCATTTAAAAATTATATATGAGATAACAGTAATAATAATAGTATATAGCACTTTGAGACCTACAAAATGATTCTCATTTGATAATGAGATAATATATTTAAAGCAAGTGAGAACATTATGTTTGGGGGGGAAAACTGCATGTGGACACTGTTCAATTTCACTGTATTTAAAACACACACATTTAGTACACCAAAACTACATGTTATCATTTCAAATTTCTCAAATAGGAACTATTTTACATGAATAATTGCTTATTTTTTCTGGAAAAAATCAACAGAGCATTTCTTTATGCTAATAATTCTTTCTGAACAAAAAGCATTATGATACCTGTTTCTGCCATTTCGTGCAATGTGATCATTGAATAAGGAGGTTCCTGGTCACTGAAAAATAGACAATTAAAATGTCAAGCTTGTGAAAATTAGAAATGAAAGCTTTGAATTAAAATTCAATTGTGGGAAGGAGAAAGAGGAGTCTATGAGTGAATGAATATAGAGGAAGGAAGGCAAGAAACCATGAGCTACAAACCTAGAAGGACCAATGCTCACAATTAAGTGGCCGTTTTGTAAAGTCAGTCTTCCCATGATGGCAACCAACCAAAATAAGAAGAAATGAACATTTATAAAATGAAATCTCATTAGATGGAAGGAACACTGGCAAAGCATTTAACCTTTCTGAACCTCAGGAAGGTAAATGTCACCTTCATGACATCCTTGTAGAGATTCTTACGAAGACAAAAAAGAAACCTAAATGAAGTGCTAGGGGAAGAAGTAAGGTTCAATACAAATTCATAATTATTATTGTTTCTATTTAGTTTTATAGGTCCCTTTCAGAAAATACTGAAATAGTGATGACTGCACTTTCTAAGATTTAAAAGAAATATTCTGTTTGAAAAGACATGAACTGGTAGAAAGAGGCCATCCATAAAAAGTGAGAATTGTGTTCAGTTCTGGATGCCATGTTAGTAAGAACACTGATAGAGTATGTCTGCCTTGTTTCATTAGTTCTTATTTAGGTTTATGATATAAAAAATAATAGATTCACCTTTGAATCCCAGAAGAATTTATTATGGACCCAAAAAGTATAAATATATACATGGAAACAGGATACAAGTATAGTGTCCATATACTGCTGAGCAGCTATTAGAACTACAAAGATGGGCTATACCAAACAGTGAGTGTACAACCCATGTAAGTACTGAGATCCTACCAATACAACCAGGATGGGCCACAGTAGGACAAGTACAAAAGCCCATACAGAGGTGAAAAGATGTCACTTGTGTTGCCTTATGAAGTGATTATTCTCATGGTAGGCCTGACAATATCTCTCTTAGATGGTTCTTAGCTGGAGAATTTCTGCACAGCAGTCTTAGACTCCAGCTCACCTGTCTCTGGAGATGTAGTCAGCTTCAGATTGATCAGGATTCCAGACCAGGCATCACAAAGGTCAGTGATCTCTGGCTGAACAGCTTCACCAGGTCACTGTTCAGCTGAGTTTTTATACTTCTCTTGGAGGCTGTGGCAACACCCAATTGGTCCCTTCAGACACTTTGGTTTACTCGTTTGTTGACACAGTTCAACCTGTAGAACATCCTTGTAAACAACCTTGCAGAATATCCTTCTGAAGGACACAGTCAGTCAGCTATCTGAACTTATAAGTGGTAGGCCCTAGCAAATCAAGCAGGGGCTTGGGAGATGGGACAAATGCCTAGGTGATATTTTCTATATTTCAATGTCACAAGCACTGTATGAGATAAACACTGAGTATACTGCAGGCCCAATTAGTTTGCCAATTAGTTCAATTAGTTTAATAATATCTAGAGAAAGGTAAACAGGATGGTGAGGGGACTGGTGACTATCCCATGCCAGCACTGGTTGAAGGAACTGGGGATATTTAGTCTAGAGAAAAGAAAACTTGGGAGTAACATAATAGCTGTCTTCAAGTAGCTGAAGAGCTGATAATATAGAAAAGAGATCAGGCTTGCTCTGTTTGGCTTGAAACGGTAAAACTAGAAGCACCAGGTAGACATTGTTGGAAGGATGATGTAAGTCTGATATGAGGAAAAAACTCTTAATTATCTGTCGGGGCAGCTAGGTGGCTCAGGGGATAGAGTCCCAGCCCTGGAGTCAGGAGGACCTGAGTTCAAATCTGGCCTCAGACACATACCATTCACTAGCTGTGTGACTCTGGGCACTTAACCCCAACTGCCTCACAAAAGAAAGAAAACAGTAATAACTGTAACTGTTCAAAAGTAGAATGGGTAACTTAAGGCAGTAGTAGGTTCCCCCTTTGCTGAAGGTAATCGAATGAATGTTAGATAGCTATTTGTCAGTGATGTTACAGAGATTTCTATTCATGTATACCAGCTGGTCTGAGGTTCCATCTAACTCTAGAGATTTTGGGAATTTGTAATTTTGAAAAATTTCTCCTAGGAGTAAAGATTTAGAGCTGGAAGGGACCTCAGAGCTCACCTAGTCCAAGTCAAGAAACCTTAAACTGTAAGGAATCAAACTATAGCTGTAAAAGAAAAGGTGACTAGAAAGAACCAGCCTGCTTATCAGAGGCAAATAAAAGAGATGTGAAAAGGGAAGTGTGGCAAGTTAGGGAAGGTGAGATTCCATGGAAGAAAGTAAATGATACAATTTTACAGCTGGACAGCATCTTAGAAATAATTTAGGCTAAGCCTCTCATTTTACAAATAAGGAAACAGGCCCAGAGAGGGGACTTACTCAAGGTCAAAGAGGTAATTAATGGCACAGTAGAGACTGGAACCAGATTTACAAATTCTTGGTTTGGTGTTTTTGCCACAACAGGTTATTACCCACTGAAATCCTGTATGGATGTCTATTTATTGTTAAGTTCCTTGGAAACATTTTCTGTCTAATTATACAACAAAGAAAACAAGCTAAATCAGAGACAATGATGAGAGGCCAGTAAGTAGGACAGAAGTTCAAATCAGTGGATACGCAATGACCTGACTTAGAAGTTTCAGTAGAATTTCTACACAAGTACCTAAATTCCAAGATGGATAAAATGGTTAAGCAAACAGAATGATCTTTTTCTCCCAAACACATTCCAGTAAATAGTTTAAAGTTGTCACATTAACAAATACTCCAAGTCTATCCACCTACACACCTTTATCAAGCCCAAACACATGAACAAATAATCAATTCAGTAAAAAGGCAGCCTTAATTGGCTATTTTCCACAGTTGATTTAAGGTGAAATAATCTTAAACTCTGACTAAAAACTTAAAAGTTTTAAATTTTGATTAAAACCCCAAACTTTAAAGTTGCATAGGTGGTCCTTACAAGAAGGAAATTTATTTTAATTTTTCACACACAGCAGAAAATGATATTTTAAGAAAAGAAATTTAGCTAGAAGCAGAGCCACATGCTAACAATGGTCAGCTGTTTCAAAGTCAAGGTGGGATAAAGAAAATGAGAAAAAAATTATGACCAAAAAAAGCAGCATTTGGTTCTACCAAATTTGCTCTTACTAATATGTAATATTAAGAATTGTGTTCTTCTCTAGACAAATCAAAGGTATTCTTTTCCTGAATAAAGAAAGGCACGTAGAGAAAGGATGAAGTAAAAATTGCTTTAGCAGTAAGGGAAGGAACTAATTTTAGAAAAAAAAAACTTCCTACTAGGTTCTCTGAGCCTATTATTTTTTGTTATAAGTTTTGTTTCAAGGGCCCTATTAAACTTCATAAGAGGCCACTGTCTTCCTCTTCAAAGTACTATTGAATAAAAAGTCTTTCCAGGTCTATAAAACGATTTAAAGTGTTACACTATATTTGTTCATAGTATTCTGTATCCATTTATTCCATGTCTGCTTTTGCTTTTCCTTTTCTATGATTCCACTGCCTTTGTTTAATGTGAGGATTTTACTGTGCTTTCAAATATATTCCACTTGTCTTATTTAAATAAACAGTGGTAAACTCCATACTTTCACAAAAAGCATACTCATTACTGATGATACCTTCTGGAGACTTGCAAATAAAGCTTCTACCCACTGCTATTCCATTAATCACTCTTTTTAAAACTGGCAAAAACTGCTTTGCACCTGCTTTTTCAATGGGTTGCAATTAACTTGGCTTGCTATTTACTCCCTTATTTCTTTAGCATAACCATTCATAATAATTTTATAGCCTAGTAAATGGTGCTTTTAAAAAATTAATTACTACCCTGGATGATTCAAAAACTCAATATTTTGTTGGACTTCTTCAAAACAGAAGTTCTATATACTCCCAGTTATTTTTATATCTGTAGAGAGGGATTTTATATATAATAATGCAAACTCTCACCCTCTTATATTCAACTGTGGTATGGTAGCTACTAGAGTTAGCTTAAGGTTAAAATGTACTTCTTCGGACGTATACCATCATTAAAGGCATTTTGATCTCACTGTTCCTCCAATGGCTACTTCTAAAGTTATTTTTTCTTCTCCCTAATAAAATTGCTGACTTGTGTGGAAGCCAATCCGGTCATATACCCACAAATTCCTTCTGTCTGTCTGTCTGTCTCTCCCCAACCCCCCCAGGGAAAAATGTGAAATAAAAGTTTATTTCCCTGCAGTAGTAATGACACCAAACTTCCAGTATATCAATATATAAAAACAGAAAATAATGTCATTTCTTTGTTACATTCAATGTGTGTCTGAAAAGTTGTTTACAAAAAGAAATTTTTTTCCAAAATGAACTTTTATAAATAAAAGATAATTTACATGCACTTAAAAAATCCTAAAGGAATGCTTTATTCTGTAAAATACAGAATCCTTTTTAATGCGACTCTTATCGCTTATATGGCTGTTTTCACATTTAGATTGTTGTAGATTTGAATTTTCAGGGGATTACAGATCATAGTTAAAGCTAAAAGGAACCTTACTAGCAATATAATCCAATTCCATAATTTTCATAGAATCATAGACTTAGAGCTGGAAACGATATCAGAAGTCATCTAACCAACCAATCAACCCTCTTTATTTTACAGCATGAAAGTGAAGCCTGGGTCACACAAGTAGTAAACATCAGAGGTGGGATATGAACCCAGGTCTTCTGATTTTAGAACCAGTATTCTTTCTACTGCAGCACGCTACCTCCTATGGAAACAGGTAGTGAGTGACTTTGCTGGGCTTCAGTCCCCGATGCTCTGACTCCAAATCCAATGCTCCTTCCACCACCATTCTAGGCTGACTTTAGTTTTCTTAGAATGGAGCACGTATGTAGTAGTTTTCACTGCCTGCATTCATTCACAAGCAGATCAAACATATTTGCAAAGGACGTAGGTGGAAAATACAGGAAAAAAGATGAAAACTACTCAGTCTATTCTTTCAGGAAGTTAAAGATATACTCTTTAAACCTAATAATTATACATGTGCTCTCTGTTAGGAGACAACTTGAATCTCTGGTCAGTGGAATGGATGACAGAGTACTAATGATAATGAATCTTCTGAAACTATTATTTCCTGTTATTACCAGTAGCAAACTTGCTCGTCTTCTACTTTTCCACTAATGGAGAGCAGAGCTTTAATTAGTGTTTTCATCCTACAATAATGTTTAGACAAATTTAGGCTGAAGTCAATGCTGGCAAGTGAAAACACAAAACCATATAATTTACATTGCCATTAGGATACCAACAAAAATATCCTCCCTTTTCCTAAAAGTACAAGGCTCATTGTTATATATCCTGATACAGCATGTAAAACAAGACGAAGCCAACTGTTAGCAGCTCCTAGCAGAAAAATTTTCTTTAAAGCTGGAGTGATTGGTAGATGGGTACTTACTTATCTACAAGTGTCCGAATTACTGCTAGCGTGTCCAACACCAAACCATCTACATTTTGTTTCTTTCTTCTTGGCTCATGTGGTCCTCGACCTCTCCTAGGTGGTCTGACAGGGTCCCTTGGATGGCTTCTGTTTTCAGCTGCTGGTATTATACTGTTCTCAGTCTGCTGATGCTGGGACTCTGCATTATCTTCTGTGCCACTATCATCTCGACAAATACAAGAGTTGCCCATGTTGGTGGCTCCCAAAGTTCCCAGAAAACTTGATATATGCTGCTCTAGAGTCAGCAGCAAACCTTGTACAAGGCTTCTGCTAGCATAAAACACAACCCAAGCAAAGACAATCATTGAGAAAGTTTTCCAAGTAATGTTTTCATAATCTTGAACTGAGGTATCAGCATCGTATTTGTTATCAACAACTGGAATCCAAAGGAAGTAGTAAATTCGGTATCCAACATTATCACCTAAAATAAACCCTGATCATCCAAAAGCAGGTCTAAAAAACAAATTAAAAAAAAACCAGTTAAAGGAGTTGAGGATTTTTAGCCACCAATCTACTTAAGGTTTCTCCTAACCCTGATTTTAGAGGCTTCAGAAGTAAAATTAGTTCATTTTTTTGGCAATTTCCCCCCCAGTGGTACCAGCACAAAAAGATACGTTTGGATAACAGGAAAGTAATTAACTGTGAAACAGTAACTCTTTACTTATTTCCATTACAAGAAGTTGATCAGTAACCCATAACCTAGTTCAGTAAGGCTTGGAAAGACTACTGATGTGAGCCTCAAACTTAAAGAGTTCCTCCTCCCTATCTATGTAGAAATACTATATTAGAAAAAACATAAGCAATTATCTAAAAGACTGCTTCCCTATTAAAAATGGGGAACCTCTTTTTATAATCAGGTCATTTTCTCTCTTTTTTGGAGAGAGGAGGAATTATATAAAATATCTTCTCAAGATTGTCTATTGTTCCTAGATCAACAGGCAAACTATTGTTACTCAGTCCATAACTCTAAAAGGATTAGAGGGGATGAGAACCCAGATTAAACTAGCTAAACTGCTTAGACAACCCAACTTGCAGGCTTTATTAGTAATTTACAGTAAAGGGTATTGGAGAGAGTTTCTTGGCCAGGTAAACAAGAATCTGTTTCTGGAAACATACTTTTCTGTTTTATGCCATTAAGCAACATTTACACAATAAGAGGTTGTTTTTGTTGTATTTGCATCTTTGCAGAAAAGTTAGGATGATGTACCAACTTCCTTGCCGGCAATTTTAAGACAAGTAGTTAGTTATCTTTATCATGGAACCAGAGACTTCATACAACAGATAAAAACCAGTAAGCTTCGAGAGCAAGGGTTCACAATGTATTTCTGTGTCATGGATCCCTTTGACAGTCTGGTGAAGCCTATGAACCACTTCTTAGAATAATGTTTTAAAATGCATAAAATAAAATAGGAAACAAATTATACTAAAACACACACACACACACACACACACACAGAGATATATGAAGTTCTCAGACTCCAGATTAAGAACCTTTATTTTAGAGAGACATTGGAAAGAAAAAGGAGACAATATGGCCACATTTGAGAGACCAGAAAAATATGGAATATTTCATGGTAGGTAGTAGGCACCCAACAGTTTAAGCAGTTGTACTTTGACAAGATGAGGAGGAGAAATATTTTTATTAGCCTGGATAGAGAGTAACAGTAAATAACTTAGTTTATTATCATAATGAGCAGGGATCATTTTTCATTCTGCCTTTGTATTACCAGTGCCTTGCTTAAGCAGACACTGAATAAATAAGTATGTGCTGGATTAAATAATGGATCACAGAAAAAAAAACCCCAACAATGGTGTACTTCTGTTCTTCAGAGACAAAAGGGGTTAGATCAGCTCCACAAGGCAGCACCTTATGGGTTCATAATCGCTGGCAATCCATCAATGTCCAATTTGTGCTTTTAAAACACATGACTAGAAGAATCCTGAGGTATACTAAGGATGAAGGGCTCAGGTAGAAAAGATATCTCTTTTCTAACAGTCTAAGTAATGCTATTTGGACAACGTGTTATTTTTGCAAGAAAACAGAATACCAAGAGACTTAAGGGCCAGGTGAGACATAAAACAGAGGTTTGGAGTCCCTGCTATGGCTTTCTATTGATCTCATAGATTGGGCTGACAGCTGGGAAAGATAAACACTTAAAGCAAACCTTTCTGGCTCTTCCCATAGATCAGGTCAGCTGGCTGGCTCGTAGACAAGAGGACAATGATGGAATACATCAGTTATAAAGGCAAAAAATCCAAGATTTTCTGACAGATCTGCACCTTGTCAGTAAATTAAGCCAATATGCCAACGGAGTATTTATTTAAAATCATTCTTCCTGGTTCTTTAACTTTAGAAGTTCTTTACCTGAGGAGAAGAAACATATGCCAGATAGGTCGTTTCAAATTTCTCAAAAGTTTGGCAATAATACATGGAGCTCTTCTGGGGTTACAACAGGAGACCACCCCAGACCTTGATGGTCTATGTAACAGGGAATTCTGAATTGAGCATACATTGTTGCATGGGGCAAGATTTCTTATCTCCCAGTTGTCAGGACATTTAGTATCATGTATCATTTAAGGTGGTGTGGCATTCTACTACAGTGATTAACAACAACTGTAACACATACACGACCACTGTACAGCAGGTTGAAGGATGTTTCTTACTGGTCTCTCCAGCATCCACTATTGTAATCTCCAAATGCTTCAGGGCTGTAGTACTGCTTCCCAAATCATTACCATCATCATCTGAGACGATGACAGATACATAATCACAAGCTGTAGGAATTCAGTCTACCTATCAATAAAGAAGAATGGGAAGGCAAGTGAAAGGAAGGAAAACAAATGCCAAAATATTAGGCAAATATTCAAGAATTTTAAGATAAGATTAGGGCTAGGAAGTGGCAAACCTTGAAGGAGGAGAGAACAAGGGAAGCTATAAAGTTACAATTTAGTTTTTAACTCCAGCACTTAGTATTAATTAATTAATAAAAAACAGCTAAGCTACTAAATGGCTGAGCCCAAGTTGAAAATGCAGTGACTTTTTTTTAAGGAGGCAGAAACTAGAATCTGTTAAAAATAAGCTAGTTTGCTTTCAATTTCTAAAGCCATCCTAGCAAAGAAAAAGTTTCTGAGTTGAAGATGTTTAGAGATAAAGGAAATAACAATACACCATGCTACACAGGTTTTTTAGCTTACTTGGGTTTCATGGTGTTTGGAAGTCACCTATATGTGCACATAATTTTTAGTTTTTTAAAAAAATTTTGAGACTAAGTTTCTGGAAGTACAGCTAATCTTATCACTTACAGGTATGGAAGCTTTCACCTGGTCATCTCTGACCTGGGCTGGCTCACCCCTCCCTACATAGCCCCTGTGTCAAAGGACTCACCATACTGGTGCCTATAGGATGACAGGCCTGAGCTACCACATTTGGCATGTATATAAGTTAAAAAATATACATATACATATATGTATATATGGTTCACTGATAATTTATAGGGGAATGGTGGGAAAAAAAAATCCCACTATTATTTCACGGCTGAAGTACTGAGTTGAATTGTTATCTTCACTTATCTTTCTTTAATAACTCAAAATTATCTCAACTACCAAACTAAGAAGTATAGTTTAAAAACAGATTTTTAATTATCAAGGCTACAGTTTTTATTGACCAGATAATGATCTGAATAAGTTAAATCAATAAAAGAACATTCAATAGAATAGATAGGCATATCACAAAAGAAATCATCAAATAATAAAAAGATCTTAGGAATTACTGCAGTTGAAAATCACACACAATTTCATAGCTTTAGAGCTGGAAGAGATCTTAGCATCTCTTTTGAAATAAGTCAAGAAACATAATGTTATTAAGTGTTATATGAAAAAAGTATCATATTAATTCAAAGCAATTCAACAAACAATAAACCCATTTGGTGTAACGATAGCGACCAATCCCATCTTCAGAGGACTACTTCCCTTCTCCAGGCAATGGTATTTTAAAAAGATAAAAGACAGCACCTTGCTCAACAAGAGGTTACACTCTAAAATGAGGATGAGAAAAGTACACAAGTGTGATTCAATGAAGAATATAAGAACAACAACAAAAAAAAACCTGACAAAGAGATATGCACTTCTTTTTAAAAAAACAAAGATACTGGAAAGGGGTATCTTGTAAAACCATGGCTGGAGGGGATAATTCTTAACCAAATGAGATTGAAGTGTTTATTTAAAAAAAGATAATTTTGATTACATCAAATTAAAAAAGATTTTTGCATGAAAACACTGTAGAGTTAGAATAAGTCAAGAAGCTAATGCCTGGGGGAAAATCTTCACAGCAAATATCTCTGATTATGGAAGGAAAGAGACAACAATTTATTAAGCACCTACTACATACCAAGCATCATGCTAAGCACTTTACTATTAGTATCTCATTTGAGTCTCAAGACACTCCTAGGAAGAAGGTGCTATCATTATCTCCATTTTACAGATGAGGAAACTGAGGCAGAAAGAGGTTAAGTCAATAGTCAGTAAACATTTATGAAGTGGCTGCTATGTGTCAAGTACTGTGCTAAGCACTGGGGCTATAAAAAGAAGCAAAAGATAGTCCCTGCCCTTACGGACCCGAGTGACTTACCTAGGGTTACACAGCTAGTAACTGGCTGAGGCTGAATTTGAGCTAAAGTCTTCCCAACTCTAGGCCCAACACTATAGCCAAGGTGCTACCTAGCTGAAGACACCAAGACATCCAAGAAATATAAGGAATTTAAACAAATAAAAAAGATCAAAGACCATTTCCAAATACACAAGGTTCAGAAGATATGGGCAGGCACTTTGCAAAAGAAGAAATGCAAACAATCAACGACCATATGGGAGAATGCTCCAAAGCACTAACAGGAGAAAGGAAAATTAAAACAATTTTTGGTTTCACTTAACATCCATCAAAGTGGCAAAGAAGACAAGATGAAAATAGTAAATGTTGGAAGGGCTCTAGGAAAACAGGCATGATAACTAATATAATGTTGATAGAGCAGTGAGTGAATTGGTCTAGGTATTGTGGAAAACAAGAATTATGCTAAAAAGTACTAACCTATTTATACCCAATGAACCAGTAATACCTCAATAGAACATGTGCCCTTGGAAGGGCAAAAATAGAAGGAAAGCTCCCATGTATACATAACAAATATTTATAGCAGTCCTTTTTAGTGGTAGATAGAACTAGAAGCAATGTAGATGATCAATAACTAAAGAATGGTGGAATAAATTGTGGCATGTGTATGTAATTAAATAGTATTGTATCATAAGAATTGAGCAGAATAAAGAAGAATCAGGATAATAACTGCATAATGATAATAACAGAAATGAAGACATCGCTGAAAGACATTAGAATTCTGACCAGTGCAATGACAAGTTTGATGGTGAAGTATGCTTCCCTCCTTTTGGCAAACAGGTGGCAGATTATAGGTATAGAGTGTGGCATACTTTTTAAAGATGTGGCCAACGTATTGACTTGTTTTGCTTAGCTGTAATTTTTTTGACACAAGGTAGGAGGGCGTTCTCTGGAATAAGTGCTTAACAAAATATTTACTAACTGACTGACTTGGCAAAGGGTGGTGGTAGCCCTGCCTGCAGTTCACATCAATGTGAAATGATAGCTATGTGAAAATATGTCAACAAATGGCAGAGGAGCAGGAAGAAGTACAGCTGAGCTTTACTTCATAACTCTTTCACACAAATCTTGAAAACACACTAGACCAGGGGTAGGGAACTTGCAGCCTCAAGGTCACATGTGGCCCTCCAGGTCCTCAAGGGCGGCCCTTTGACTAAATCCAAACTTCACAGAACAAATCCCCTTAATAAAAGGATTTGTTCTATAAAACTCAGACTCCATCGAAAGGTTGCACCCAAGGACCTAGAAGGCCACATGTGGCCTTGAGGCTGCAGGTTCCCCACCCCTGCACTAGACCGAGTCCTCCTGACTGGGAAATTCAATTAAAAAAAAAATCAAAAGGGTCAGTTAGATGGCACAGCGGATAAAGCTCTGGCCTTGGAGTCAGGAGGACCTGAGTTCAAATCCAGCCTCAGACACTTGACACTTATTAGCTGTGTGACCCTGGGCAATACACTTAACCTTGACTGCCTCACCAAAAAAAAAAAATCAAAGTGTGTCATTTTTCCTGACCAGGTTAGCATAGATAGATACAGTCAGAGAGATCTTTAGACACTGGGGACAGCGTCTAGACAAGAACAACCACAAAGAGAATTCTAGCAGAGGGAGAGGCCATGTACCAGGGCAAGAAGGGGTCCCAGATCCAGTACAAAGGGGCCTACCTTTCACAGGGTGCAGGAATAGGCGCTAATAGGCAGCTCTGTCACTCACTACCCAGTTTCAGATCACAGATTCAGAAAGGAATGTAGAAAAACTTTGGCATTTCAGGTAATGGGCTAGGCTGTGTATAGCCCAGGCTGAAGCCTGTAGTGAAATAACCAGAGAAGGAAACTCAGATCAAAGGGGAGCCTGCAGTTCTGTCACTTTGAACCAGTAGCTTTCCAGATGTCTGATAGTGGCTAGGTCAGCAGTAGTCTACTGAAACTCCAAAAAGGGCAGGCCCACAGGTATATTCACAGATCTAGACCCAGGTCAGGAACATGTAGAGTTCAGACCAGGAGGGCAGTGATCAAACTTTACCCTGAATTACATCACTTGGGGAGCGCTGAAAGCTTCTAGTTCCCCACTCTGAGCTAGCCCTGGGATCCCAGAATAACACAATATTCAATAGCCTATGAAAATTGCATCAGGACCCTAGACTACACAAACTCAATCCTGATATTCCCTCTAGAAGGATGCACAGCCTGGCCCAATCATAAAGTCTAAAGTCTGGAAGTAGGATAGAAGAATGAGCAAACAAACACAAATCCCACCATAAAGAGCTATTATGGTGACATGAATGCTTAAGACAGAAACCCAGAAAAACAGAATGACTCCAAAATACTTACAAGCAAAGCCTCAGAGAAAAACAGAGCTGGGGCACAAGTTCAATTAGAATTCCTGGAAGAGCTAAAGCAAGAATTTAAGGAATGAAAAAAAAATATTTTTAAATAAATTCTTTCAGAACACTAAAAGAAAAAACTGGAAAAGAAATGAGAACTATGGAAGAAAGAACTGGGAAGAGAACTAACAGTGTGGCACAAGGAAAGGGAATTGGGAAGAGAATTAACAGCTTGTCCAAGCAACAAAACTCCCTGAAAATCTCAATGGATCAAATAGAAGTTAATGACTCCATGAGACAATAACAACAAAAAAAATTAAAAGAAAGTCAAAAAACTGAAAAAATTAAATAAAACGTAAGGTATTTCATGGCAAAAACAACTAAACTGAAAAACAGATCAAGATGAGAAAATCTAAGAATTGTTGGACTACTTGAAAGCTATGACCAAAAAAAGAGCCTACATATAATTAAAAAACAAACAAAAAAAGCAAACCCAACCCCCTCCCCCTAAAAAACCTGTCCATATCTCAGAACCAGAGGGCAAAGTGGAAACAGGAAGAATCTACCGGTTACCTCTAATAAGAAATCCCAAAATGCATGCTCCTAGGATTATTATAATCAAAATCTAGACCTTCTAGGTCAAAGAAAAACACTACAAGCACCCAGAAAGAAAGAATTCAAGGACTTATAAGTCACAGTCAGGACCACACCTTATGTAGTAGTTACCACTATTTAGAGCAGAAAGCTTGTAACGTGATATTTCAGAAGGCAAAGGCTATATAAGCTTTCAACCAAGACTGTTTGTTGTCCACCA